GGATGGGTGTGGGGACAGTTACATTAATGATGTCATGGGTGTAACTGTAGCCTACAGTCACACTGAGGCTGTTGAGGAATAACTGGAATTCTGACTGTATTTTGACCAATCACTTTAATGAAACAATATATTTATTTAGGATGATCTCTGTGATCCTCCCTCTGTCCAAATAAAAAAGTTAAAGTTTAAAATGCTGTTTTTCAGAATTAAACATTGGAGCAGAAAAAAAACCCCAGAAATAATACTTGGGCTATTTTACAATATACAACATGTAGAAATAGCTTGGATAGATTTAAAAATCAAATATATAAATAACTATTATTAAGGATCTTTCATACATTCAAGAATCAACAGCAGAGTCATGGACCGACCACCCAGTGGACTGAAAGCCAGTCTTTAGGAATGACACGAGAACAGGAATAAAATGACTGTCAGATATATTCAACAGCTTTTGTATCATTTTCAACTCCGCAGCTCACTATGGATTTTTAGTCCATTCCATTACTAATTCATGTGGGTGGAGGGGCCGGGGCAGGGGCAGGGGCTGAGGAGGCAGGAGGCTGGTCCAAGCGTCTTGAAACCTAATCTGGATCGATAGGGCTGACCTTGGGCTGGGCTCGTGCACACACACTACAGGCACACTGGGCTGGGTTCAGGGTGTGTGCGTGAGGTAGCATGTTCTTCTGTGTGGTTACATGGGGAAGATTAGAGGCAGTGCGTTGTCTTACAAAAAGAAGTACAAGGAATCTGGACTGGTTATTTTAATTTATTACTGTTATTAGTTTACTGGAAAGATATTGGCTCGACAGTCGACTTTAGTACAAAACTAAAGTGTATAATTTTAATTATTGAATATTTACAACCAAAAGTGTATAGGATATTTTTAGCAGCACACGCTACAATTTAATCATTTCTTATCAGGATTACTTTTATTTATTTTGAACTGAAGAAAAAGTATATATACTTGATGGGATTAGTCTTTGATACTAAATACTTGAAGTATCTGGTGAGGGTAAAACATGACAAGGGCAGTAAATAAAAATGGGATGTATTGCAGGTGAATGTAACTGTAGTGTTACTGAATGGTAAAAACATTTCAAACAAAATAAAAATAATAAATAGTTGATCTGATTCACCTTCAAGATGCTCAGTAAAGACTAAAATCCATATTTATAGTTTTGCGTATTTTTCTTGGCCTTTAAAAATATTAACAATTCCATTATTTAAATTGATCACAACATTTCTGTTCCAGCAGATTATCAGATATCATGATTAATCAATGTCAGTTATGTTACCAATTAATCATGATTAATTGTAATCAATTAAGAACTGGCTTCAATAATCTGCTAAAAAATTCTAATCTTTTGACAGCTTTTATATTTTTGGTAAGCTCCCACATCCCACGTTTTACTCGCACAGTTCCACGATTTGTGACTTGAACACAGTGATAACATGACAGCAGACGGAGCAGATTGTAATTGATGTATTTTATTGTGAGATGGGGAGTCATAAAAAAATGAACAAAACAAGGAAAAAAAATCCTAAAACAATCAATATAAAAATGAGGAGGGCGGTAGAGGGGAAGGTGGGGCTTATAAAAGTGGGTGTGGTCTTGACACAGACATATAAAGTAACAAGTTGGCACAAATAAAACATAAGAACATACAACAATATTATTTTGGCTTGGCAAAAAAAAGGGACAGTTTGTGTGGTTAGGCATCATCCTTCAATACAACAGCACACGCTCATGCTATTAGACATACAGTTAGTTTTTTTTTTCTTCATAAGTTCAGTAGCTTTATTTAAGAGAGAGAGGGGAAAGAAAACAAAACTAATGTGAAAAATGGACGTCAAGAGGTCACAGGGTGCCACGTTCTTCTTCAGAATCAATTTTGTTCGTTAAACATACTTCAAATGTGCCCGAGTCTCGCTCTTCCAGGCTTGCAGCTGTCGCCTTTGAATGTGTTTTTTTGTCTCCGTACTAAAATATATTATCGTATTAATACAAACTACAGTATTGTACACTACATAGTGTAATAAATAAACTCAAAGAAATATAAAAAAATAAGACATAAATATAAAAGTTCTCTAGAACTAAACAGACACAGCCGCTCGGTTGGGGTGGGGGGTGGGGGGGGGGGAATAATACTGCTTAGATGGAACAACACAGAGAAA